TTGGCTAAAAACTGTCAAAAACTTGTGATTTTTCAGTTTTTTTTATGCGCCATTTTGTCCTCAGCTGGTTTGCGGACGAGATATGCTAGCAGCGCCCTCACACACAGTTGATGAGTGCTTCTATAACATAATTTAAGGTTAGGAATGGATAAAAACGTTTAATTTATTGATTTTTGATGCAGAAACATAGTTTTTCTTAGAAATTGTGTCAATATTTATGTTTTTACAATAAATAATTAATGTAAATTAGATTTAAATATCATAACCTACAATAATTAACATCCAGAAAGTTACATTTAAAGAAATACATTGAAATATTTGCTAAAAACTGCCAAAAACTGAGAAAAACTTGAATTTTTTCAGTTTTTTTGCCGCCATTTTGTTCTCAGCTGATATACGAACTTGCAACATCCCCAACGCCCTCCCACGTGGCTGATAAACACTTCCATAACATATTTACTAACATTATTTCACTAATAACCTATAATTTCGTACATAACCTCACCTAACCCAAATATTCCATGACATGACATAACCCACAATAATCAGTTAATTATCGTTTCATCTTGCTTTTGTATTTATATTTAAACTATTAAACTTGTTCACATAATGATTGTAGGTTAATTCCCAGTGTATGTTTGCGCATGCGCATGCGATTACTCCACACGCCTATTTCGCACGATGACAAGAAGTAGAACTCTACTCACTCAACACACAACTCTTTTCCTTGCTTACCTGTGTATACTATTACAATATTATAATATAATATAATTTCTTCTTTCTGATGCGCTGAATACTCGCAAAACGATTACGTTTACTCGATTTTTTTATTTTTTTATGTACATTCTCTCATCTCATTATAATGCTGGTGGTGTGTATGAGAATTTGTTGTTGGTTGTTGGTTGTTGGTATTTTATCTGATTATTGTTTTGGCGAGACATTTGTGCTCTAATTTCGGCTAATTAATTACCACACACAGATGTAGAGTGAAGTGAACTGTTATTTGTGTTGCATAATCGGCGCGGTGCAGGTTAGGCGTGTTAAGAGGTTATGTTGGAGTTAATTGTGGGAGGATTACTAAATTATATATGTAACGAGATGAAAAAATAACAGTTCATTGAGAAATTGTTGGAATGGATTGTTTTTTAGTTTGTTTTGGGAAGTTTTTGGAATTTTTTGGATTATGGGTAATAACTCAGTGAAAATTTGATCAAATTTAATCAAATAAACATAAATTAATTCAACATTTAATCGTGTTTCTAGTAATGAATGGATATTATTATTAGCAATGTTATTTTATTAGTTATTAATAATTTAATTGCGATTTTCTTGAAAATTTTGCGTTTTTTATTTTAATTGTTAATAACTTTTGTTCAAACAATTCATTTAATAAGCTTTAAGCGAAATATGAGGAACAATTTAATATAGAATTGATTTCTGAAAGAATTAATGATGTATCTCATTTAGTTCTTGAGTTATTGATAGTTTTATAACAAATACTTTCCATAAAACAGTTTTTGATGTTAATTTAGTATAAATATTGGTTTTAATGCAATAAGTCAGTCAAAATTTAATCAAATTTAATCAAATAAACACAAATTAACTCAAAATTTCATCGTTCTTCTATTAATATATTGATATTATTATTAACAATATTATTTCAATAGTTATTAACAATTTAATTGCAGTTTTCTTTAAAATTTTGCATTTTTTGACTTTCATTGTTAATAACTTTTGTTTCAATGATTTATTTAAATAGGTTTAAGTTAAATATAATAAATAATTTAATATAGAATAGATTTATGAAAGAATTAATCATGTATCTCAATTAGTTCTCGATTTATTTGTAGTTTTGTAACAAATATTTTCAACAAATCAGTTTTTGAGATTAATTTTGAATTCATTTTGGTTTTTATGCAATAACTCAGTCAAAATTTAAGCAAATTCAATCAAATAAAAACAAATTTACTCAAAATTTAATCGTACTTCTAATAATGTATTGGAATTATTATTAATAATATTATTTCAATAGTTATAAACAATTTAATTCTTAATAACTTTTGCGTCAATTATTTATTTAATTAGATTTAAATTAAATATTGTTTGTAATAGTTTGGTAAAACATTTAAATTGTTTAAATCGTGTGTATTCAAATGATTATAATTATTAATAATTAATTAATCGCAAGCATGAAATGAAAATAAATACGAGTACAACCATGACCTTAGTTTAAGCACGCCTGGCATTTCGAGTATTTCTTATATGTTTCGTGTCTCGTTATGTTATTAAGTTAATTGCCAATTCATTGCCTGCGCTCGATCGTTAAACGATCTGCGGCCATCTTGCGTATGCAGATCTATGTTAACCTATTACTAAACTTCGAGTAACTCGCGAACTAAATAAGATACACTGTTAATTCTTTTAAAAATGAATTTTATGTAATGTTTTATAACATTTTAACTGAAAATTTTGTTTTTATGGCTCATTAAAAGAAAAGTTATTAGCGGTTTAATAAGGAAAAAATGTAAAATAATTAGGAAAATTGACATTAAATTGTGTATAATGAATTACATCGTATTTTCGTTAATTAAATTATTATATAAACAAATGGACGGATAATTACTGAAGTGATTTATGTATATTTTATTAGATTTGATTAAATTTTGACTGAGTTTAAATTACAAAAAAGAAACATTTATTAAAAATATTTGTTACAAAACTTCAAATAACTCGAGAACTAAAAGAGATAGATTGTTGATTCTTTCAAAAATTTGGTGTTAATGTTTACTTCATATTTAGCTAAAATATTGTTATTTCTGTTTTTAGATCAATAATTAATAACAATTAAAGTTGTAAAATGCAAAATTTTCAAGAAAAATGCCACAATTTTCTTAATAACTTTAAAAATATTATTGTTACTAATAATATTAATAAAAAATTAAGAAGAGAATTAAATTTTGCATTAATATTTGTTTATTTGACCAACTTTGATCAAATTTTCACTGAGTTATTGCATAAAAACCAAAAAATAAATTATTAAATATTTTCTTATTAAAATACGTATAAAATAAAAGTACAAATTAAAATGTTTCACTATGAAAATAGAATGTACATATAACTTGTAATAAAACCGAGAGCTGCACCTTTTTCACTTCACGTTTACGAGTCAAGTTACGAGGTTAAATACAAAATAAACTATCAATAAATCAAATGGCAAACAATAAAACGGCAATTGAGTGCGTGCGAATAATTTCGGACATTTTCTATGTTCTTGTTTTCAATTTCTTTCATCACTTATAATCGCATATAGTTGCTGTGTATGTTGATTGTGATTGCGATGCCAATTGTAATGGCGATGGTAATTGTGATAAACAGTTTAAGAGTTTAAGCGAGATTAAAGTGACCGTAAAACTTTTAGTTTCTCGCGGTCGTCATTATTCGTCTTTCAAGGTCACGATTTCTATTCTGTCTGCAAACTTCAAAGAGTGTAATTAACATAAACACATCCATCATTAATTTTACTGGTAAATTTTTATTGGATAGAAATATTTTATGAAATATTTTGGATTTTAATGTGAAAAAACGTCAGAAATGTTGAAAAATTGACATTAATTTGTTTATAATTCAAAAAACAATATTGTTATTAATTAAATCATTATATAACTAGATAGAAGGACAACTACTAAAAAGGTTTTTGTTTATTTTATTAAATTTGATCAAATTTTGGTTAAGTTATCGCATAAAAACAAAAAAAATTACAAAAAACAATTTATTTACGAAGTTTCTTACAAAACAACAAATAACTCGAGAACGCAATGAAATACACTGGTCATTTTTTTACTAATCTATTTTGTATTAAATTAAATTTGATATTCAACTTAAATTTTGTTGAATAAATAGTTGCAACAAAAGTTATTAACATTTAAAGTAAAAAAATGCAACATTTTTATGAAAATTATAATTAAATTGTTTATAACTAATAAAATAATAACGCAAATAATAATATCAATATATTACTAAATAGATAATTAAATTTTGAATAAAATTAAGTTTATTTTATTAAATTTGATCAAAATTTGACTGAGTTATTGCATAAAAACCAAAAATTACTCAAATAAATCCAGAAACAATTTATTTATGAATTTTCGTACAAAGCAACAAGATACTCGAGAACGCTATGAGATAAATTGGTATTTTTTTGGTAACTTATTTAGTATTAAAATATATATGATATTCAACTTAAATATTGTTTAATATATTATTACAACAAAAGTTATTAACATTTAAAGTAAAAAAAGGCAACATTTTTATGAAAATTATAATTAAATTGTTTATAACTAATAAAATAATAACACAAATAATAATATCAATATGTCACTAAATAGATAATTAAATTTTGAATTAAATTATGTTTATTTGTTTAATTTGATCAAATTTTGACTGAGTTATTGCATAAAAACCAAAAAAGTTAAAAAATTATGATTTCTTGTTATTTGCTTTATTTAATGTTTTAAACTCTATTGACCTGTAAATATCCATTCAATTGTTTTTATTACTGGTTTGCTTGACATTGTCCTCCATTTTTGAAAGAATCAACAATCTATCATTATTAGTGCTCGAGTTATTTGTAATTTTATAACAAATATTTTCAATAAATCAGTTTTTGAGATTAATTTAGGATTAATTTTGGTTTTTATGCAATAACTCAGTCAAAATTTGATCAAATTTGGTCAAATAAAGATAAATTGTTTTAAAATTCAATCCAATTTAAAACTATACTTTTATTTTATTAATAACAATATTATTTTAAAAGTTATAAACAATTTAATGACAGTTTTCATTAAAATTTTCAATTTTTTACATTTTAAACTCTAATAATTATTGTTTTAATCACATATTTAATAATATTCTCACCAAATATAATGTAAAATTACCTAAATTACAAGAATTATCATTAACATTTTAATTTAACACAATTTTAACATTTTCTTCTTATTTTTTCAGATTTCAAGCCGAAAACTTCAAAAAAATCATGTGAATAAAAACCAACACAGAAGACTAATTTAAGTGCCATTAAAACAAATAAAAATCAATCCACACACAAATATAAATCCACATAAAAATGGCGCTTAAACTAAAAAAAGAAATAAAAAAATCCTCCTACTACGTGTGGTTCCTCGGCGCGAAAGAATCCAAAGGCCTCCGCGGCCTGGAATACATCCTCCCCGTAATCGACAACCTAGAAGAACGCGAGAAAGACATCGAGCCCTTCAAAGTCACCCTACAAGTCTCCACAAAAGGCTTAAAAATCGTACAGAACATAGTTTCAGCACAAAACAACAAAAAACCCAAAAACGAAACCATCAAACACTTCATCCCACACAACACCATCACCTGCGTGCATCAACGCGAAGACGTCATCGCGTGTATTCTACTCCTCTTTAACCCGGTGACAAAATGTCCGTTGCACGTGCATGCTTACCGATGCGACAGTTTAGAAACAGCCACTATGTTGAAAGCACAGCTTGTTATGTTAATCGAACGTCCGGAGAATCAGAAAAAATTCGCGGAGATTGAAAGCAGGTTGATGCCTAGCACTGGCATGGGTATAGATGATGGTAAAAGGGAGAAAGGAAATAAGAAGGATCGGCTGGATAGTAGTATTGGGAGTAGTGATACGGGAACAAGTACAAAGAGCGAATCTAGTGAAGAAAGGTTTGATTTTTATTTTTTTATTTTGATTTTTTTCATTTTTTTATTTTTTATTTTGTTTTTTTTATTTTTTTAATTTTTTTATTTTTATTTTTTTAATTTTTTTATTTTTTTATTTTGATTTTTTAATTTTTTAAATTTTTTTATTTTGATTTTTTTAATTTTTTTATTTTTTTTTTATTTTTATTTTTTCAATTTTTTTATTATTTTATTTTTATTTTTTAATTTTTTTAAATTTTTTGCTTATTTTTTGATTATTTTTCATTATTGAGGTTATGTTTTAATAGGTTTTCATCAGATGTAAGAGTGGCAACACTGTATGATTCGGTAGCGGCTGAATTGCGCGCTAAATTGAATAAGAAAGCAGTGCCGATTTTATTACCGCCCAGGGATTATGATACGGTGCACAGGCAAAAAGGGAATTTGACAGGGATTGAGTTAAGGAGGTGTTTGAATGTGAATATTGTTGGGCAGAATGGGAAAGCAAAGAGGATGGCGTCCAGTGGGGGGTCGTCAGGGATCGGGTCGGATCATGCGCCTAGTCCCGAGAGTCCTGATGTGCAGGAGAGGTATCATGATGGGCATAGTACAAGTGGTAAGTGGATATTGTTTAAATTAATATTTTTATGATATAATATAAATAATTGTTTAAAAAATAGTGTAAATAAGGTATTTTTTGAAGAATTTTTGTGTTTTTGGTTTGAAAATTGCGTTTTTAGAGATATTTTTTGATTTTTAAATTTGCGACGTCAGTTTTGAGTTAATAATATAGGAAAATATGAAAATTTAAGATTTATTGAGTTTAAATATTAAAAAAAAATAATTGAGTAAAATACAATCTTGCTTTTATTTTTAATTTTATTAAAAAAAACAAAATTTTTTAATTTTCTGCAATAACTCAGTCAAAATTTGATCAAATTTAGTCAAATAAACATAAATTGTTTAAAAATTTAACCTAGTTTGTAAGAATTTGTTAAATTAATTAATAACAGTAATATTTTAAAAGTTATAAACAATTTAATGACAATTTACTTGAAAAACTTTCTTGTAGCCATTGATTTTCTATTTTTTTTAGTTTTTCTAAAATAATTCAATCAAAATTTGATCTAATTTAATAAAATATAATATTCTAGTATTTCCACAACAAATAATCATTAGATATATTAATATTTTTACCTATTTTTAAAAATTCTAAAGAAAAATGTATATTTTTCTCAAAAAAACACAATTTTTCCAAAAATATTTTATTACAAAACAGTTATTCTTAAACAATTACCATGAATATTATTCGGTAAAAGTTTCACCTGCATTTCACCTGTGTAGAATACGTTTTCTTATATTTCTGTTTGTTTCGGTTTGTGTGTTACTCGCGGTTGAAGCTTTGAAGAAGTTGAAGATTACGTTATGAGTCAATAGGTTTCGGTGTTAAAGTTCACTGGGTGCTGCTTCAACTTCAACATAAACCTACACAAAACACAAAACACCAAACAAAAATTCCGCAACCCAAACCCAAAGAAAGTCATAAACATTTTAACATCATAAAATTATTTTATTTCTATTATTAATATTAATTTAATTATACAAAATTATTACAACCATTACTACCAAAATTACTTATTAGGTAAACAATTTCAATGATAATAATTTAATAATTTACAGTTTATGTAATTTTTCATTTAAATTGATTTAGATGTATTTTTGTATATGACTTAACTTAAGTCACATTGCAAAAGTTGTACGGGTATAGTATACGTCTCGGAACGAGGACGACCGCAGACGACCCGGTTCATGCTGTGGTCGGCTGTGATCCGCGAGTATACTTAAGTCAAGTCAACTCGGCGTATAAGACCCGTCGCCGTAACTCTTTAACTCTTTAACCAACTTAAAGTTAACTTGACGCGCACACAGGTGAAACCCTCCGGCAGTAGGACACACACCGGATAAAACAAGTCGAGGCAACTTACATAAAATAAAATTCAACAGGTTTTGTTATATTATAGGTTATGTAAGGTTAAAAGTTTTTGGTTTAAGCCAAAATTTATAGTTTCGAATATTGATTACAAATTTAGTTTAGTTCACGAGATATTGGCAATTGAAAGAAATGGGCAAAAATTGAAAAATTGCACTTTTTATCACTTTTAGTCGTGTTTTTCGACCTTTTACTATTGGAAATATAATTATTTTATATTTTTATCGGATAGAGAATTTTCCGTTCTTTCATAATCAGCAATTTGTTGGTTGCTAACGCTTTTACTTTAAGAGATATTAATTATTAAAAATCGTCGAAAAAAAGTATTAAGCAAATTTCCGTTTTAACTATTCTATCTTATAGAAAATTGTCCGTAGATTAAGACGCTGCGATCAGATCTTAATTATCTCTTTTAGTTTACGAGATATTTGCGATTGAAAAAAATTGGCAAAAATTGATAAATGTCACTTTTTAGCACTTTTAGTCGCGTTTTTCGACCTTTTACTGTAAGAAATACTATTATTTTATATTTTTATCTGGTAGAGAATTTTCCAATCTATCATAATCACCAATTCGTTGGTTGCTATCGCTTTTAGTTTATGAGATATGAATTATTGAAAATCGTCGAAAAAAAGTATCAAGCACCCCCCCTTGACAATTTTTTCTTAAGAATGAAAATTTCATCTCTCAGATTTCCGTTTTAACTATCATATCTTATAGAAAATAGTCCGTAGATTAAGACGCTGCGATCAGATCTTAATTATCTCTTTTAGTTTACGAGATATTCGCGATTGAAAAAAATGGGCAAAAATTGATAAATGTCACTTTTTAGCACTTTTAGTCGCGTTTTTCGACCTTTTACTGTAAGAAGTAATATTATTTTATATTTTTTTCTGATGGAGAATTTTCCAATCTATCATAATCACTAATTCGTTGGAAGCTATCGCGTTTAGTTTAAGAGATATGAATTATTGAAAATCGTCGAAAAAAAGTCTCAAGCACCCCCCCTTGACAATTTTTTCTTAAGAATGAAAATTTCATCTCTTAGATTTCCGTTTTAACTATCCTATCTTATAGAAAATAGTCCGTAGATTAAGACGCTACGATCAGATCTTAATTATCTCTTTTAGTTTACGAGATATTTGCGATTGAAAAAAATGGGCAAAAATTGATAAATGTCACTTTTTAGCACTTTTAGTCGCGTTTTTCGACCTTTTACTGTAAGAAATACTATTATTTTATATTTTTATCTGGTAGAGAATTTTCCTATCTATCATAATCACTAATTCGTTGGAAGGTATCGCTTTTAGTTTAAGAGATATGAATTATTGAAAATCGTCGAAAAAAAGTATCAAGCACCCACCCCTTGGCTATTTTTTCTTAAGAACGAAAATTTCATCTCTCAGATTTCCGTTTTAACTATCCTATCTTATAGAGAATAGTCCGTAGATTAAGACTCTGCGATCAGATCTTAATTATCTCTTTTAGTTTACGAGATATTCGCGATTGAAAAAAATGGGCAAAAATTGATAAATGTCACTTTTTAGCACTTTTGGTCGCGTTTTTCGACCTTTTACTGTAAGAAGTAATATTATTTTATATTTTTATCTGATAAAGAATTTTCCAATCTATCAAAATCAGCAATTCGTTGGTTGCTATCGCTTTTAGTTTAAGAGATATGAATTATTGAAAATCGTTGAAAATAAGTATGAAGCACCCCCCCTTGGCAATTTTTTCTTAAACTGAAAAATTTTATCTCTCAGATTTCCGTTTTAACTATCCTATCTTATAGAAAATAGTCCGTAGATTAAGACACTGCGATCAGATCTTAATTATCTCTTTTAGTTTGCGAGATATTCGCGATTGAAAAAAATTGGCAAAAATTGATAAATATCACTTTTTACTGTATGTAATATAATTATTTTATATTTTTATCTGATAGAGAATTTACCAGTCTTTCCTAATCTGCATTTCATTATTAATGTATATCCTATAAACAATTTAATGACAAATTTCATTAAAAAATTTCATTTTACACAGATTTCATTACCTATATTATAGATTATGTACGGTTAAAATTCTGCTTAAATATGCAATGAATAAATATAAACTTTCGCATAAAACTTAATAAAATTAATAAATAACTGGATACTGCGCTGTTACGCGCAGCTTGTTGATGAGTTAAAGATTGCGATGCGATTTTCTCAGCTGCCGTCACACGTCCGGAATGCGGAAGAGACAAGTGCGTTCACGCCTTGCAATCGACACCACAACATGCAAAACACATACGCTTACCAAATAGCGGAAACAATTTAAAAAACAATTTAAAAAATAAATTAAATTAATATTTAAAAAATATTTTTCAGACGAAGATTGGAATGCTGACCAAGACACAGGCCTATACCTCATCGATCAACCAACGTATCCATCACCAGTACCCAAATACGATTATCGTGCCGAACAGAGAAAACCACGTCAGTTCGACCAGAAAGTCACTCGACAGCATCTCGAGGAACACATCCGGAAGAAACTCGAACAGAGGAATAAATACCACGGGCAGGAATCGTTCAATTACAAAGAGGATTCGTCTTCGTTGAATCGCAATCAGTACAGGAATGAGCGTAATATATCCAAGAGTCCTGAATACAAGGACTACAAACAGGATTATGGTAATTACGATCGCAATGGACGAGAATATAATAGAGATAATAGAGATAGAGATTATCTTGATAGATATTATGATGTAGAGGATACTTTGAAGAGTCAACAAGGACGTTCCGGTAATTTCAATATAAAGGATAATTCACGTGAAGGGAGGAATTCACGTGAAATAGTTGATCGGTATCATAATGATAGACATATTGAACGCTATCCGGAAAGATCTGATAAACATAAGGATCTTAAGGAGAGGCAGGAGAGACAGGATAGGCGTAGAGAAACGAGCCCGGATGAGGAGGAGACTTTCCAGGATAATTTTAGTGTGCTGCAGTTTTCTCCAAGGGAGAGGTTTAATGATGCCAAGGAGAAGTTTTTGTTACTTGAGAAGAAGACTAGTGGGAACTCTCAGGACTTTTTTACTAGGGAGATGCCTATTTCTCCTAATATTTCTAAGGATAAAAGGTAAGTTTTTTTTATTTTTATGTATTATTTGTTTTATTTGTTCGGATTTTTGTTAGAAAAGAGTGATTTTTGAATTTTTTAAAAATTAGTTTGGAAAACACTCAGTATCTTTTGTAAAATTAATGTTATTTTAAGTTTCTTCTCATCATTTAATAGTTAAAGAGTCTTTCTATATAATGCAATTTTTATCTAACTTCTAAACCCTTGGGAAGTGCGCTAAAATTTCTTTTAAAAATTGATATTTTTTGAAATTTTCAAAAAGTTTTCGCGAGAAACACTCCGTATCTCCTGTAAAAATACTATAATTTTAATATTCTCTTTGTCATTTTTTAGTTAAAGAGTTCTTCTATCATATACAATTCTTTTCCATTATCTAACTCCTTTCTAACTACCCTTGAATCCCTACCAAAACTACCTAAAATTAATTTTACTCAACTTTTTTTAAAATTTTTCAGGAACTCAAGATATTATGACGATGAACCTATACCAGCACCCAGAAACTTCAAATCCTCCCAAGACGAGCGTAACCCAGAACGCAGAACCAATAACTCCCGGGAAGCCCCAAGTCCCCTCGAACGATACAGATCTAGCCAACAAAAAGTGGACAAATACGACGTTAAAAGAAGATCAATGTTTAATTTATCTACATCAACCTCACCTAATGACAGGGATAACAATTATTATCCAGAAAGATACTCCGACGACAGAAACAATCGCGACAATCGAGACAATCGAGACAACCGAGACACAAGAACATTGAATAAAGATTACAAACGAAGATCCTACATGGATCAAAGTTATCGACCTGAAGACGATGGCTTTGATGATCCACCAGTACATGCCCCAAGAATGAAAAACAACAAAGAACGCGAGACTCGTGAAAAATATCAAAATTGGGATAATAATCCACGAGACACATCCGATCGTCCTGATTTCCGTGATGGTCGTGAAGGAGTCCGTGACATGCGAGAAATACGTGAATCCCGAGACGTTCTCATGCGTGAGAAAAAATTCACGCCGAATCAACGCTATAGGAATAGTTATGCAGAGCCTAGTATCCATCAGGATAACCGCAAGTATCCTGCGAATAATGGTAGGACACGTTTTGATATCCTCCACAGGACGAATTCCACTGTGTCGAATAATGGTAGGGTTGGCATTGCCAGTGTGCATCCCTATTGAATTGTTTTTATTAGAATAATATGATTTTACTACGCTTAGAAATTAATACACAGAAATTTATCGGTTGCTGGATGTTTTAAATGTTTAAATTAATCGGGATCTGTACATAATACTTGTAAACGAAGGTTTTGAATCTTTCAAGGTGCTAACAGTTAATAGTTATTTATATTAATATTAATATTAATATTATATACAATGTGTTTGCTCATTTATTAATGAATAATTGTATTTTTTTAATTTTTATTTTATGAGTTTTGAGTATTTGAGGATAATTTAATTAGATGATGGAGATGTTGTTATGATGGAGGTAATTAACACAAATTTGAACTAATATATTATTGCCATTTATTTTATTTATATTTTTAATATATTGATTTTTAATGGAATAATATGCGTATGAGGATGATTATAATATATAAAGTCATAATTCTATGAATATAAACAAATCAAATTACTATTTTATTAATTGTAACTCTTTTTATAATATTATTACAAAATGTACATAAATATTTCAATAAAATATATTAAAATCCCTTTTGTTTTGTTATGTTTTGAGGTGGTTCGGGAAACACGCTGTATGTCTTGTAAAAGTGAAGTAATTTTAAGGTTCTTATTTTCAAATGAAAGCTGAAGATGTCAGCTACAAAATAAGCATGATATTTTTACTTTAAACCCTTTGGAAGTGCCCTAAAATGCCCTTCAAAAGTTGCTATTTTTTTAAACTTCTAAAAAGTTGTTGTGGAAAACACCCGTATCTCCTGTAAAATGGTACAATTTGGGATTTTGCTACTTTAATTTATAGATGAAGAGTGCCTCTACAAAATGAGTATATAACCTACCCCCTCAACCCCAGGGAAGTGTCCTAAAAGTCCCTTCAAAAGTTGCTATTTTATGAATTTTCCTAAAAGTTGTCGTGGAAAACACTCCGTATCTCCTGTAAAAATTATGTAATTTGGAGTTTTGCTATATCAATTTATAGATGAAGAGTGCCTCTACAAAACGAGCACCCAACCAATCCCCTAAACCCCTGGGAAGTGCCCTAAAACTCCCTTCAAAACTTGCCATTTTTTGAAACTTTCTAAAAGTTGCCGTGGAAAACACCCCGTATCTCCTGTAATAATAATGCAATTTGGGATTTTGCTACGTCAATTTATAGATAAAGAGTGCCTCTACAAAATGAGTACCCAACCCACTCTCTAAACCTTTGGGAAGTGCCCTAAAATGCCCACGGAATTTTTACTATATTTTTTCGATTTTTGTTGAAATATATTAATTTTCGCCTGAACAAAAGGGTCGAACTTTTTGTGTTAAAATATTTTCAGTCGAAGAACAGGGACGCACTTTCTGGTTAAATTTTTTTTTGGTCAAAATTAAAATTGATTTTTAAATGCTTATAACTTTTGCACTAAAAGGGCTTGGAAAAAAATGACTTTAGATTTTTGATGCTTGAATGTATTAAAATAATATATCTCTTGAAACATGAAAAACTCTTAAATTAAAAAAGGTACAGGAAAATGTTATTAGAAAATATGATGCGCAATTTAATCCTCTTTAAAAATCTGCAATCAAATTATAAAAAATCATAATTTCATGTGCACAATTTCGAGTCGAAACCAATGGTAAAATCGAGTTGTGTTATCCGGATCCCAGAAAGTCGAGGAGGCTGAAATTTATCGCGGGATTTTTGACTATACCTTTCTCTCTCTGACTTTATATCACCCTCTCTCTCTGTAAACTTTCGCGGGATTTTCGACTGAATTTGTAATCTATTTTCTTTCTCTCTCTGTTTTTACTCTCTATCTCTCTCTTTCAATTCGATCAATTTTGCCTCGAAATTACGGGAAAAATTGATTTTTGCTACCAGGAACCCAGAAGTGCGAGGAGGTTAAAAATTTTATTGCGATCTTCGCACGAAATTAATAATTTCAAAACAATTTTAAAAAATTCGCTGGAAATTTTCAGATTTCAATGAAAAAATGTGCTAAAAATGCCAACATTTAAAGGTATTTTTGAGGTATTTCTAGGCCCTTTGGGGCACCGGAAATGAAATCAAACGATAAATCAACTCTTTCTCTATCAAATAAAACAAGGAACAATTAAATTGAGCCAGAAACAGCCGAGATACAGGGCGTTTTCGAAGGCGTGTTTCAAAGAAATGCAAAAAAGGCTGACTTTCAAAGTAGATTTTAGGGCATTTCTAGGGCTTCCAGAGAGTCAGAAAGTATATCAAACGATAAAGCAACTATTCTTCTACCTAATAAAATAAAGAACAATCAAATTGAAGCAGAAACAGCCGAGATACAGGGTGTTTTCGAGAACGTGTTTCAAAGAAATGCAAAAAAGGTCGACTTTCAAAGTAGATTTTAGGGCATTTCTAGGGCTTTTAGAGGGTCGGAAAATACATCAAACGATGAAGCAACTCTTTCTATATCAAATAAAACAAAGAACAATCAAATTAAAGCAGAAATAGCCGAGATACAGAGTGTTTTTGAGAGCGTGTTTCAAGAAAATGCAAAAAAGGTCGACTTTCAAAGTAGATTTTAGGACATTTGTAGGACTTTTATGGGGTCAGACAATATATCAATCAATGTAGCAACTCTTCCTCTTTAAAATAACATAAAGAATGATAAAATTAAACAAGAAACAACCGAGATACAAGGTGTTTGCTAGGGCATGTTTCAAAGAATAGTAAAAAAGGTCAACTTTTAATGTAGATTTTAGGGCATTTGTAGGGCTTTCAGCAAGTTAAAAAGTATATCAAACGACGAAGCAACTATTTCTCTACTATATAAAATTAAGAACGCTTAAATTGAACCAGAAACAACCGAGATACAGAGTATTTTTCAAAGCCTGTTTTACCTAGTTACCAAGCAGGCGTTCCTGCAAGGTCGATTTTGAGGTATTTTTAAACCCTTTAGAATACAACAACTGCAAGAAAACAATAAAACAGTTCTGCGTCTATAAAATAATTAAAAGATCAACAAAATCGAAGCAAAAACAACCGAGTAACAGGGTGTTTCTTACAGCCCTACAATTTAAATACATCGAAACAGTTAAAAAACCAACTCACAGCATCAAACGACTTGTCAGTGTTATTATATTATTATAATTGTGTCAGTAAATAGTTAAATACATTAAAATCAGAGTATTTAATTAAATAATTTAATTTCAAAAAGTACATACTAGCGCCCTCTATTGCCAGGAAACATTAACTACAACTTAAAGCTCCAAAGCTAATTACAGAGCGCATGAGAAAACTTTCAAAAGTTAGTTACTATTCCTCACCACTAGATAACAGCACAATAACGAAGCTTTTATCGTCTATGTCTATTTTCTGGGTTCCTAATATTCCAACTGAATTTATTGCCGTTTTGAAGCCATTTTGAACGAAATTTTTGCTTCGAAGTTGTCTCAAATTGGTTTGTAGTATTAGGAACCCAGAATCTGTGAGTAGGCTGTTTAAGTTTCGGCGGGAAACTTTCAATTGCCGTGACTGTATGCAACCAATGTTTGCTTTTGAAAGTTTTGCAGCTTTGAAAATGTTAATTGTAGTAGATTATGTTTTAATAGATAGAGGACGCTAGCTATTACTTTGTCATTAATTGTTTCTATGAAATAAATCAAAAAAATTATTATTTTAAACAATTTCAACAGATTTTATAAATTATACAAATGTATGCTCAAAACTGAAACTCTAAAAGCGGATTTATATCATTTTCAGGCAGTTTAGAGCACAGGAAATGATAGAAAATGATTAAAAAACGTTTTTCCATATAAAATTTATTAAAATAAACGCTACAATTCTATAATACAACCATATTTCAATATAATATCTATAAGCAGCTTATTAATTCTTCTGTAATTGTATACCGGTAGTCTCTAAGTAGCTTTAGTTATGCACACGTGGTCAATGCACAACTAAATGCTACAATATTCCAAAGGAATTAATTGTTTATAACAGTATTATGCATACTTCATAGCATTCTTGTAAAACATATGTAA